TACTGCATAGGCTTCTGCTGCTTTAATTTTTATCTTATTTTTATGTTGTAAACAGTCTTAATTTTAGTTTTCCGGATTTATTTACTTTTAGCAGCTTCTTTTGCATTCTCTAATATTTATATTCCATATAATTACAGGTAAACATGTTAATCTTACATTGTACTTTGTGCCTAGATAATCAGTAGGAGGTTCTTGTTAAATGTTTCTATTTAATTAATTTGAATCCTGACCTTTTCTAACATAGTCACATAATTTTCACGTCTCTATCTTCTGATTTAGTTCTTAATACTATAGACTGTTTGTTTTAAATCACTGAATTTGGGAACAGGTCCAACGTATTAGCAGCTGAGCTCTATGTAATATCCATTAATAGTTTTCCTACCTTACTATAACATTTGGCACAAACCGTGAGTCTTCCTTCAGAAAAGGTTTCAGGTTTAGCAGCGTCTGTGAAGAGAAACTTAAAGCAGAATAATTAGTACGTTGTTAATGCAGAATGTGCATTTAAAACCTGGTCCGCATTGTGTCATACACTAAGGAGGCTGATCCTTTGTACTTAAAATAAAACTTATCTGGAAATGTTTGATCTTTTCCATTCAAACCTTTGATCAATTAATACATCATGTTTATCAACCTTAACAGAGAATATAGTCATAATAAAGGAAACTGATTTCTAATATTTGAAATAACATCTGTAGATTCACTGTTGGCTGAATCTTTACAAATCATAGCTGGTGGTTTTTCAACTTAATTGTTCCAAAAACAAACTAAAAGTAAAAAAAAAAGGTTAAAACAACATCCCATAGGATTCAGGATGTAACCTTTGTAATGATTTACATAGTGGCAATTAGTAACATATTCTGAACATTTTGAAGCTTATTAATTACTGCTTATAATTTTCCCAATACTAATTCAGTCTTTGTAAAGTAAACATCAGCAGGTTTACACAGAATGTCAGTGTGAGTTCTGTCCCCCAAAGCTGGAAACAAGCTTTTCTAAGATGAACAGAAAAAAGAAAAGAAAAGAAAGGACAAAATCTTACTCTAATGTTATTAACTTATCTAAATCTCAGTGTTACTTAATTCTAATTGCATGAACTGATCAGCATGTTTTCTCTAAGTCCTAAAATGTCTCTACTAAGTGTGATATGAGATATTCTTCCTCATGCTGGTTCTAAGTCTCATAATGTGCTTAGCAAACTTCACATCACTCTATATTAAATACTGACCATATTTTGTTAAGCATTTGTTTTAGGAAGTATCTGAACCAGAACGTAATGCATTATGATGTTACAAAATAGTTTTGCTATAAAGAAAATCATGACATTCAAAGGTTTGGAATGCAAGTTTATATTAAGATAATCACGACTACTCTAAGGCGTTGATTACAAATTTTGATTGTATTTAGTTTGCAATACAGGCTTTAGAATTAGAAGTACAGTTAAACCTATAGGTTGTTTTGTAAGACAGAATAGATGTTATTTTAGACACCATGTAAATGTAAATGTTTAGCTGCTATCTGCTGTTGTACATAAATAAACCATATTTCACTTACTCTGACCAAAAAGCTGTGTTAATTTGAGTATCTGATGTGTCTGGCTTTTTGCAGTGTTTTCTTCACGTCCAGCAACCAGCGACAGAAACCATCTCCAATTTTGGCCGAGCTTAATAATTAATTGAAGTTTTTATTGATCTCAGCAGTGGCTGCCATCGTTGGGCACCAGAGAGGAATCAGGGTTAAGGGTCTTGCTCAGAGACCCAGAGTGGCAGTCTGTGGAAAAGGGTTTCGAACTCGCAACCTCAGGATTCCAAGCTCTATGCCCTAACCACAAGGCCAGCACTTCCCTCCAAGCTTTTCATGTCAGCCGCAGCACTTTCTAGTTCTGCCAGTGTTCTTTGCTCGAGCCGCTTCGGCTAGATGACCGTGATTCCTCCAGTCTCCGCCTCATTCGGTCTCGGCTGCACGGCTTCAGTTCAACAGGCTCACCTCGGCATTTATTGATCAGCTGGTCACAAGTCTGAGGACTCTCGTGCCGCTCCGAGCCCCCCTGGGCTCAGGGCACCGTATCCTAACCTTTCAGCCAAACTCATCCAACTCCTATGTCTACATACCATTTTTCAGATTATTTCATTACTATGTAAATAATAATGCACGTCCTCCAAAATCCCATGTTTAAGACAACCACAATACTGTTTTAAGTTTAATTAAATTCTCCATGTAAATAATTTGCCTTGTTAATTGTTTTATGAAAGAACAATTTATAAATCATAATCTTCCCATAGCAAAACCACTTTCCAGCTTTTGCTTCAAGGTGTTAAAAGGACTTCATTTTATTTATCTCTTACCTCTAATAATTGTTGAGTTTTATTTGTTCTATCAAGTTTCATCAAAAGTTAATTACATTAAGAAATCCTTAGCATAAATGTAACTTGCTCTTTTTGAAAATTCACCTTTAAATATTCTGAATAATTAGTGTTTCATTTATTCACTTTGCTACAGTAAGACCAACTTAACTCAGGAGTAATCTAATTCTGTCATCTATGTGCAAAGAAAGGATTCGTCTAATCATGTGGGGTTTATCATAATCAAATATAAGCTGCAGAATCAGTCACTTTACATGCCGTACACAATATCATTCTAGTGTAACGATCTGTACATTGTTTTCAGTTAAAAATGCTTCTAAATCCTTGGGCCCCATTTCTATGATGATCGCCCCTGTGTGCACTCTGCTAACTGTGCTCCTCCTTCTGCCTCTCAGCGAAAACAAGCAGCTGTGTGTGTGTCAGGCATAATGTGTGTGTGTAGAAAATGTGTGTGTTGAGTTTTCGTTTGCCTCGGGACAGAACTCAGAACCATTTTTGGACCTTACTTTTGGGCGGGAGGTGGGAGGGGGGGAGTTTACAGCACTTTTAGTACAAATTGATTTTCTAACCTTTAACATGTTAATTTCAAGACATAGTAAGATGTAAAAGTATTATTCAATATATTTCTTATAAAATCGACCATAGTTTTTCACTATTTATAAACATTTGAAAAAGAAGATCAACACTTTGCATAAATTTCAGCTTCTCTCAAGGTTCACCTCCAGAAATCACAGAAACATCGATAGCATTTGCAAAACAACATAAACAAAATATAACTAAAACCAAACACTTTATAATACAAATTGTCTAGACCAGATCATATTTCTTGTGCTCATTATTTGTATTTTCTTTTTAGAAAGTTTTGTCATTGTTTGTCTTGTAGTATTTTCTGATGACTTTGGTCCCACTCATTACTGAATTGCTCAAAACGCATCCAAATAGTAAGAACGTGCAGAAATTCGACTTTTTCAGCAACAGGTTTCCTGCATACCTTTCTTATCATATGTCCGGACGTGGATGCATAGAGAGAATCCAGTTCTTCATGGGATTTTATGTTTATTGCCATATTAATCTATGTTTTAACATAACTGTAATCTAATTATCTGCTGTTTAATTCTCCTATTGATCTGTTTATACTGAAACATAATAGAACTAATATTTTACACCCCAGAAAGACAGTTGACATTGAACAAACAACATAGAACAGACAGACAGACAAAGAACATAAAGACACACAGACAGACAGACACATGCCGGCTTCTAACATAGTTTCGTTTATAATAATATATAGTCCTATTTAACAGATACAGAATGTCGTGGCATTTTTAAGCTTCCAGCATGTGTGTGTGTGTGTGTGTCAGCGCACACACAGACAGGCTTATAAGAGGAGAGAAGAAAAGGGAAAAACTTGAATTCCCGGCCAATGCACATTCCCGGCCAATGCACCAAATGTGGTGGCTTTCAATGGTAGAATGTCAAAAATCAGGACACCTTCAGTCGATCATCTGATTGCCCCAGGACGGGAGAAGAAGCGTTTATTTCAAAGATCAAATTGACATGCTGTCCTCAGTACACGTAACACAGCGCTGAACATTTCAACAGAACACATCTGGCTTTTCTCAACTCTCATTCAAATCTGGGCGTTTATATAGTTTCAACATTGCACTGTGTGGATGTATGTGCACGACTGGACGCTCTGAAGAATTTCCTGGAAGTTCTTGGCCTGTGACCGGATTGCGTGCGAGTGGGCTTTAAAGACTTTGTTTCCGCCAAGACGTGTACTTGACTTCCAGCCTGTGAACACACTGTTACTGCCAATATGTACGTGGCTTCCAGCCTGTGAACACTTGTTATTGCCAAGATGTGTACGTGGCTTCCAGACTGCTTGCTCTGTGTTATCAATTATTGTGAGCTTAAGGTCACGATGACCTGAGGCAACACAATTCGCTTCTACAGTAAGCTTGTCTGGCAGCTCTGCGCCCACCAATGTTCAGAGCTTGTGGCAAACGTAGTCCTCGCTCTTCAGCCTCATCTAAGTATCTTTGGTTCTCTGACGGGGCAAGCAAGTAGTTGTGGAGGATGATGGCAGCCACAACCAGTGTGTCCACGTGGTTTGGATGTAATTTATGTCTCTGAGAATAATTCTCCACCTTGCAGTGAGGATTCCAAACGCACTTTCCACGACCATGCGTGCTCTTGAAAGTCTATAATTAAAAATACGGTTGTCGTGGTCCAGATCAGTAGCAGGGTAGGGCCTCAGCAGGTAGGTTTTAAGTGGGAAGGCAGCATCTCCCACCAAGACATGGGGCAGCGGTCCGAGTTCTGGTGCACCAGGCAAAGGTGCACTTGGCGGTACATTCAGGTCTCCCCTCTCTAGTCCCTTTCCCAGATTTGATGCTGAAAAAACACCTCCATCACTCATCCTTCCAAAGTCCCCAACTTGAATTGCCCTGAACCTGTACTCATGGTCCACAACAGCCAAAAGCACTATGGAAAAACTTTTCTTGTAGTTAAAGTACTGTGACCCTGAACGAGCTGGTGCTTGTATGTTGACATGTTTGTCATCAATTGCACCAAGGCAGTTGGGAAAGTTCCATTTTCTCCAGAAGCCACGTCCCACTTTAGTCCACATATCTTCAGTTGGGCTGGGCAGGAACTCTTCCATCATCTTGCTCTCGATCGCTGCGTAGACCATGTGAACAGAATTCACAACAGTCGAGTGGCCGAGTCGATAGCTGAACGCCAGGCTCATTAGGGAGTCACCAGAAGCCAAATATCTGTGGAACACAAAATGAAAACATTTGTTATTTACTTGTTGTTAACATTTGTGTTATGTCCTTCTAGTGACCACTTGCATGAACAGATGGAGGCTAATACGAGACAGCTTCGTCAAGGCAGAAAAGAAAATTTCAAGCGGGGCTGATGCTGACTCTGTCCCTCCACAGCATAAATATACGGATTTGCTGACGTTCCTCCGGCCTCACATCCAACACAGACGGTCAGTAATATTATATTATTCAAGTAAAATTAATGTTGTCAACATTGTATTTTTATTGATTGTAGAGTAAATTAAAGTACTTGTCTTTTAATTTTTATCTTCTTCTGATATCTTCTTGTATAGCCAAAAAAGTAATGTGCGGCTTTCAAACCCAGCCAGCACCCCAGCTCGCACCACTACGCCCTCCCCATCTATCTCCACAGCATCTGCCACATTTGAAGTTGATGAGGAAGCGGAACCCCGACCCACTTCATCCCGCTCTGCCCCTTCTCCAGTGCCCCCTATTCCCGGACCATCAACCTCCAGGGATGTGGAAAGGTCAAGAAGCCCCAGGGAAAGACCACAGCCCGTTTCCACACAGCAAAGTGCAGCACAGGACAGGGGGAGGAGGAGAAGGAGTCCAGCTGCACGTGGTGATTTTCAGGACAGATTGCTGGAGGTTCTGCAAGAGCCCCCTGCAAGACCTGAAGGCCCCAAAGTTGAGGCATATTTTTTTGCCTTAAGTTTGGTCCCAGTGATGCTGAGGCTCAGTTCTGATGGCCTAAGAAAGGCAAAAATGGAAATCCTGACCACTCTCCACCAAATAGAGGATCAGGAAAAAGCTGCTCAAGCCATCAGGAGGCCAACACCTCTGTTTTGCCCTCCCCCACCCCCCACGGCCCCCTCAACTCCAAGAGTGCAGCCACATTTTCAGTCCCCACAGGATCAAAGGGCATTTGGCTCATTCACTCAAATGCTGCAGGACACAAGCCAAATGCCTCAAAGTAGTGAATGCGAGGACTATCTTCAATTTTAAGTTTACTTTGTGTGTTTGTAAATAGTTTTACTTTGTTGTCTTTATTTTATTTTGTGTATAACCTTTTAAAATTTTGAGTGTATTTAGATTTTTTTTTTTTTTTTTTTATAAATACAAATCTCCTATTTAAACGTTTGCTGTGTATTTTTGTGTGAATAAAAAATATTTGTTATGCTCACATCTGGTTTATCTGTATATTTACCTCAGTGCAACCGCCAGACGTTGTTTGGGCTCTATGGCAGCTCTGTAGTTGGTCCTGCCTTGTTAGTTCAGTTCCAATGATGGAAAGTATGTGCTCCATCTGCTCTGCACTCATCCTGAAGTATCGGTGGTGCCGCTGGCTGTCGAGCTGAAGCTCTGCAACAAGATTATGAAAATCTCCTTGCTCCTGTCTTTGAAGATTTATTGGATGGACCCATGAATGTCTTCGGGTACTTCTGCCTCTCTGCTCATCCTCTTCTTGCAGTGCAAGAAGAGCACAGGCAGCAAGCACCTTTCTTCTGCTAGCTGAAAGATGCAGTAAACAAATACATATATATTTATCACTTAAATAAGGTCTACAGATGTACAAACAGTGATAGCATGCATAAGTACAACATGCAGTACATGTATTGCGGTGTTGAAAAACTAGTCTTAAGGAAATTCTGATCATTCATTTGTATGGAATTTCCGCCACATCTATTACAATAGTACTTTCAAAAAAACAAACGTATTACTTTTATTTTACTATATCATACTTACTCATAGTAGAAAGTCAAAAAAGTCGCCGAAAAATGCGGAGAAGTGTGCTGACACGCGTGATAAATCCAAATGCGATCTTTCTTTACTGGACACTTCCTTATTTGGGTGGTGTTATCGCGTGAAGTTACGTGAACTCCAGTTCTCACGAGTCAATCTCCGGACCTGTTGCCGGAGCCGCGGAGCCGCACCGCATCGTAGTCAAAAGGGCGGTGTGAGAGGGGGTGTGCGGAAGTTGCGGTCTCCGTCGGCTCGGTAACCGCACCGGAGTCTGTGTGAGCAAGGGGTTATAGCAGTATAAAACCAGAAGATCAGCCGCACTACCCAAAACAACCACTGTATGGCGCTGTTAAACCAGATTCAAAGTTGGATGGATTACCTTCTATAAACGTCAACCCCATACTAAACACTTTTCCCTTTCAACCATCAGATCTACAATTACGAGTAACACACAAGGCACAAATGCAACAACAATTAAATAATCCATCAATTCCAAATGATAATGTAATCTGTACCATTATGCAAAAACAGAATGAAATCACATCAATGCTTGTTCAGCAGCAGTTATCAGCTACTCTTCCTCAGCGTGAGATCCCAGTTTTTGATGGCAATCCTTTGGAGTGCACATCTTTCCTAAGAGCTTTTGAACATTGTGTGGAAGAAAGAACAAACAATTATCAGGATTGTCTATACTTTTTAGAGCAATATACCAGAGAGCAGCCAAGGGAGCTGGTCAGGAGCTGCATGCACATGTCATCACAGCAGGGCTACCAGCGAGCAAAGGAACTCATAATGGAGCATTTTGGAAATGAACATCACATTGCTTCTGCATATATGGAGAAGGTGTTTGCCTGGCCAGTCATAAAATCTGAGGATGTTGAAGCATTGCAGGAATTCGCCTTGTTTTTACGTGGCTGCTGTAATGCCATGTTAGAAATACAGTACATGGAGGAGTTGAACATTCTATTTCATATGAGACAAGTAATCATAAAGTTGCCCTATAAGCTCTGTGAAAGATGGAGAATAACAGCTTGTAAACTACAAGAGCGGCAAGGCTTCCGAGCCACATTTAATGATTTGGTCAACTTTCTTGAACAACAAGTAAAGATCCTGTCCCATCCACTGTTTGGAGACATCTCTGACACCAAGCCAAGCCCTGTAATTAGGGGACCATTTAAGTCTAAATCCTTATTAAAGGACAACATCAAAGACAGCAGCTTTGTAACATCAGTTTCAGCACTGGATAGTGCCTCTGCACCAACATTTTACAAGCAGCCAATTGTCCAAAACAATCCTCCTTCATTCTCCTGTCTTTACTACGAACAGCCTCATCTAATATCAAAGTGTCAAGAACTGCAAAGAATTTCTCACAAGGAGAAAATTGAATCCCTGAGAGGTAAAGGAGTACGTTTTGGATGCTTAAAAGTTGGCCACATCAGTAAGGAGTGTAAGAGTCGGCTCACCTGCGACAAATGTTATCTAAAACACCCCACTATTCTGCATTTAGACAATGAAGAACCATCAGTAAGTAGTGCATTTGTGTCTCACCAGGTTGGTTCTTGTACTGGGGCCGGGACCACGACTGTACTTTGTCTATTGTTCCAGTTAAAGTTAGGTCTAAGAGGGGAGATACAGTGTTGAAGACTTATGCCTTCTTAGATCCTGGGAGTACAGTCACTTTTATCACCAGTAGGCTAATGAACCATCTAAATCTACAAAGTAAAAGGACTAACATTCTGCTGTGCACCATGGGTCAAGAAAAACTGGTGCCTAGCCACTGTGTTTCTGGACTGGAAATTTCTGAGCTGGAAGAAAACAACTTCATAGAGCTTCCAGAGGTCTACACCCAAGAAACTATTCCTGTTTCAAAGACCAACATTCCCCGTCAGCAAGATGTTGAGAAATGGGAATATTTAAAAAAAAATTAAGATCACAGAATTGGATGCTGATGTTGGAATTTTTGATTGGGACAAACGCACCAAAGCTCCTGGAGCCATGGGAGATCATAAACAGCAAAGGTGATGGACCCTATGCCGTGAGAACCCTATTAGGATGGGTCATAAACGGACCTTTAAGGAGTGGAAATGGTGGTCAGAAAGGCTGTCCTACTGCTTACACTAATCGGATTTCCATTGTCAAATTGGAGGAGCTGTTGGTGTCTCAATACAATATGGAGTTCAGTGAGAAGACACTGCAAGAGGAGCATGAAATGTCAATTGAGGACAAGAAGTTCATGAAAATATTGGAGCAATCAGCTTGTATCCAAGATGGACATTACTGCATGGATTTGCCCTTTAATAAGGATGAAACAATCATGCCCAATAACCGATTTATTGTGGAGCAACGCATTCAAAGTCTCAAAAGAAAATTTGACAGGAACAAGGCCTATAAGGAAGAATATACAGCATTTGTTACTAACCTAATTGACAAAGGCTATGCTGAGGTTGTTCCTCATGACCAGCTGGAACCTAAGGATGGAGGTGTGTGGTACCTGCCCCACCACGGAGTTTACCACCCAAAGAAGAGGACATTGCGAGTGGTGTTCGATTGTGGAGAAAGCTATAAAGGCACCTCGTTGAATAGCCAGCTGCTACAGGGGCCGGATTTTAGAAATTCCCTGTTCGGTGTGCTCACCCGATTCCGAGAGGAGAACATTGCATTGATGACAGACATCCAGGCTATGTTTCATCAAGTGAAGGTGTCAGAGAAACATATGGATTTTCTCCGCTTCTTGTGGTGGCCATTAGGAGATACATCAGTCAAACCAGTCGAACACAGGATGAAAGTGCATATCTTTGGAGCTGTCTCATCACCAAGCTGTGCCAATTATGCTCTAAGAAAGACAGCAGCAGATAATACAAACAGCTACAACAAGTATGTGACTGACACCATTTACAAAAATCTTTATGTTGACAACTGTTTGAAGTCTGTGGCCACAGAGCAAGAGGCAGTACAGTTGGTGGTGCACCTCACTGATTTGTGCTCAAAGGGAGGATTTCAGCTGTTGAAATAGACAAGCAACAGCCGAGCAGTGTTGTAAACCATTCTAAAAGAAAAGCGCTCCAAACCAACAAGACAACTTCACCTGGAACGAGACAGGCTGCCTGTGGAGAAAGCACTGGGCATCAGCTGGAGTGCAGAGAGTGATACATTTTGCTTTGAACTTGCTGTGGAAAAAAAGCCTCACACTTGGCGTGGAATTCTCTCAATGGTCAGTTCAATCTATGACCCTCTTGGCTTCTTGGCACCTTACACTTTGCTACCTAAGTTGTTACAGGAAGCATGTAGACAAAATTTATGATCCTATTCCCCAGTCTATGTTACAGTTTTGGTCATCATGGTATCAGGACCTGAAGAAAATAGCAGGGTTTAAAGTGAGGCGTTGCATCAAGCCAAGTAGTTTTAAAGGATGTTTACTTGTCCAGTTGCATCATTTTGCAGATGGTAGTGACCATGGATATTGGACAGTGTCTTATTTGAGGGTACAAGATGAAGGAGGAAATGTGCATTTGGCATTCATGCTTGGAAAGGCTAGAGTAGCTCCATTAAAGCAGACAACAATTCCCCGCCTTGAACTCACTGCCGCTGTGTTGGCTGTCAAGGTGGACAGAATGTTGAAAAGGGAGCTCTCTATCCAGCTGAATAGCTCATTCTTCTGGACAGTCAGTCAAACGGTGTTGAGATACATCAGTAATGATACCAAACGATTTCACACCTTCGTTGCAAATAGAGTGGCTGCAATAAGAGAGGCTACCAATGTGTTTCAGTGGAGGTACATCAGTTCCAAGTCCAATCCAGCAGATGAGGCCTCCAGAGGTCTTTCTGCAGACAGCTTTATGTCATACAAGAGGTGGATAAATGGCCCGGATTTCCTCCGAAGGCCTGAGCAGGATTGGCCAGAGCCCTTTGAACCCCAGCCTGTTTGTTCTGAGGACCCAGAGGTGAAAAGGGATATACTGATAAATGCCATTGACACACAGCCAGCATGCCAGCTTCAGAGAGGAAATTAAAGATCTGCAAAGTGGAGCATCTGTTGTTAAGAACACAAGCAACATTTACAGGCTTGATCCAGTACTACATCAAGGTTTATTGAGAGTGGGGGGTAGGCTTAGTCGCTCAGTCCTACCTGAGGAGCAGAAACATCCTTTGATCCTCTCTAAAGACCAGCATGTATCCAAACTAATTCTGAGAGACCTGCACCAGCAGCTTGGTCATGCAGGTAGAAATCATATGCTGTCAGCTCTCAGAGAAAGATACTGGATTACTTGCGCCAACTCAGCTTGCAGAAAGATATTATCTGAATGTGTTGTATGTAGACGCCACAGAGGACAACCAGCAGAGCAGAAAATGGCTGATATGCCACAGGAGCGAGTCTGTCCAGAATTCCCACCGTTTACTAATGTAGATGTGGACTACTTTGGGCCCATTGAGGTCAAGAGAGGGCGTGTTATGGTTAAAAGATACGGTGTTATCTTTACATGCATGGCCAGTCGAGCCATACATCTGTAGGTGGCTCATTCATTAACAACTGACTCCTGCATCAATGCCATCAGGCGTTTTGTATGTCGCAGAGGTCCAGTACGCCAAATGAGATCGGATAATGGCACCAATTTTATAGGTGCAGAGCGTGAGTTAAGGGAGGCTTTGGGAGCTTTAGATCATACAAAAATCCATCAAGCCCTGTTGTTGAAAGAGATTGACTGGATTTTTAACACACCTGGTGCGTCCCATCATGGAGGAGTGTGGGAACGGCTCATCAGAATGGTCAAAAGGGTGTTACTTTCTGTTCTTCACCAGCAGACCTTGGATGACGAAAGTCTTCAAACCATTCTATGTGAAGTGGAAGCTATCCTTAATGATCGCCCCATTACAAAGGTTTCGGATGATGTAAATGATTTGGAAGCTCTAACTCCAAATCATATTTTGCTGCTCAAAGGAAAGCCTACTGTTGCTCCTGGTGTTTTTCAAGAAAGTGATGTTTACCTCAGGAAACGTTGGAGGCAAGTGCAGTACCTCTCCGACCTGTTCTGGAAAAGATGGACAAAGGAATATCTACCTTTGCTGCAAGAAAGACAGAAATGGTCCAGACCTCGGTGAAGTTTTGCTGTTGACGATATCGTGGTGGTTGTGGATCGTTCTGCTCCTCGTGGTTCTTGGATCCTCGGAAGAGTTACAAATACTTACCCAGATAAACATGAACTTGTGCGTGCTGTACAGTTGAAGACACAAACAGGACAACTGGAAAGACCCATCTCCAAAATATTTCTTCTTCAAGAAGCCATTTGAACCAGTATAAAAAAAAAAAAAAAAAAAAAGTGCTTGGGCCTGTTTTGATGTTTGTTGAATTGTGCTGTCTACACAATTGGGGCCAGTGTGTAGGAGCCATTTATAGTTGTTGGTGTTTAGGTATGGTTTGTTTCTGGGTTATTTGTTTTGGGTGGTGGTGGCCTATATTCTGCTCTACCACTGGTGGCGGTGTGGAGGGGAAGGCTTTATAGGTAAGACGTGAGAGGGCAGAAAGGGTTTTGGGTGACGGGAGGTCATACGGTTTTTACCGCTTTCTTTGGCACACAATAGCCTGCGTCCTCCGGTTAAATTCTGTTATTTTCACATTCTCCATAGTTACCTGTCCATCTCACTTGTTGTAAAGACCGCCACTCGGATTGTTTAGAAAGTTTGTTCGTATACAAACATACTTCAATAAATGGGAACGCCCATACCTTATATTCTGGTTTCCATCTCCTCTTTTAAGCGTGTTAAAGGTACACTATGCAACCGGTGTTGATTTTCCAGCGAGACTCCCCCCAGAGGGCGAAAGTAAAAGTGCACTGTCGTAAATATGCACAGCTGTTCTCCTGGTTTCTCCGTCAAGCCAGGCGCGGTTGTTTTGAGCTTAGCAGACAGGCGAACGCAACGAATGACTAATGCTGCGTTCACACCGCAGCTGGCACGACAGAAGCAGCGAGTTTACATGGCGCAGCAAAAGGTCCTGCGGCGCGTTTTGAGCAGCAGGCCCAGCGCGTCTGAACAGCTGAAGCAGGGAGAGAGACACAGCGCTGATGATCAGAGGCTATGATCTCTCCTCTTAAACAGTTTATTGACGCCTAAATTAACTTAAAATGCAGAAATCTGCCAGCAGAATATGCAGTTTGGATTATTTAGATCAAAAACACCTACCAGCTGCCGCGGTGAACCGCGAGGACGTGACCTGGCCAGAGGCTGCTGATGAAGGGGTTCCTTCTGTCGGCGCACCGCTGGTATGTGGGGGTCTGAGCGGCTCCGACAGAAAAAATATTGAAGGCAGGATAATAATCTGAATGAACTGACGGCACTGATTACGTTTTCAGGTGTATTTTCTCATTTAAACACATATTAAAACTACTTTATTCCAAATGATCACAGCAAATATAGCTGCAAGGCAGAGAAAGGATAGTGAAGCTCCGCCCAACGCGCGTCAGACACACTTTTGCACCGCACAGCCAGAGCAGCAAAGCTGCTTCAGCTGCGCGTCAGAACTAACTGGTTCAAGCAGCAAAAATGAAGCAGCAGACACGATTTTGCTGCTTTTGCTGCGTGAACGTAGCATAACTGCACAAGGATCGCCACTGTGCTAGCAACGAGAATGCTTTTAACTGGGGGGTGTAGCAGTTCTCGGCCGTAAAGCAAGACTGACTCTCACGAGACTTCTGAGCCTGTGGGTGCGGGTCGGTGCTCCTGCAATTGCAGGTGCAGTATTTCCCCCACAGACCACCAGGGCGGCCGAGAATACCTTTGTTCAACCTGAAATGAATCATTTAATCATCCATAACGTTATAGAACACATTAATTAACTGAAAAATGTTGCATAGTGTGCCTTTAAATTCCAGATTCCCTGCACCCACAAGCATACTATTTCAGCCACTTGGTCATGGCACAGTATATATATATATATATATATATATATACTGTGTATACATATATACTGTGCCATGACCAAGTGGCTGAAATAGTATGCTTGTGGGTGCGGGGAATCTGGAATTTAAAGGCACACTATGCAACATTTTTCAGTTAATTAATGTGTTCTATAACGTTATGGATGACCAAGCCAAGATCCCCTGGGACTTCCAGATACAGACGGACAGAATGGTAATGGCAAACCAACGGGACGTTGTGGTGGTGGACAAAAAGCAGAGGAAAGGGGTTGACATAGCAATACCAAGTGACTGCAACATCAGGAAAAAGGAACATGATAAAAACTAGGGAAATACCAGGGGCTCAGAGAAGAGCTGAAGAAAACCTGGAAGGTCAAGGCATCAGTGGTACCCGTGGTCACTGGGGCACTTGGGGAAGTGACCCCAAACTGGAGGAGAGGTTACACCAGATCCCTGGAAATACATCAGACATCTTGGTCAAGAAAAGTGCAGTTCTAGGAACAGCAAAGAAACTGTGCAGAACCCTCAAGCTCCCAGGCCTCAGGTAGAGGACCCGAGCTTGGAGGAAAAAAGGGAGACCGTCCGCAGGGTGAGGAGGAAGAAATTTTTTTTTAGCTGTGTCAGTACTCAGCGGGGGTAAATGGTAAAAATCTACTCTGCTTTTAAAATAGTGAAAGTCTTCAAATGCAGTCCTAAATGTACAGAAATAACTTACTGTCTTTTCTACTTATATGAAAAATTGTAAGATTCTTGTTTAGTCTCATACAGGCTCGTGCAGAATCATTTCACAGAAACATTAGGCCTTCTTCGTAGGGCTTTTTAAAATTGGCTTTACCATTATTTCCCCATCGGTGCAGCTCCAGTGTTCTCATTTACACGAGAAGAATGGTTAGAGTTGTATGAAGCCGAAGATAGCGTAATATCCCATGACCATACATACAGTCTGTGATACAGTGAGCGATGATCTCCTGCAGGTCACACAGCCAACACATGGTTCTAGGATTTATATATGTGAGCCTGGCCTGTCAAAACCTGTCTCACTCATACTGTCATGCCGATCCATTGGATCTTCTCACAATTTGTCCTCTGATTTTTATTTTATTATATTTTTGTATTTAGTTTCAAATATCAAATATTCAAGAAACCACTGAATGCCAGGGGTGTTTAAGGACATTATATAGGAGAAAACAAAGATAGAGTAGTAAAAGGTTGGTATTTAAAAAAGGAGTGGAAAAAAATGAATAAATTACATTTGTTAAGATCATACTTTGTCTTAACTGCTTTTTGGTGCTTTTATTGCGACATTGTTTTATTGTCTTTTTGGACATTGAATTGGATTGTATCGTTAATGAAAGGGCACTGGGCCGCTGGAAGTAATTTTGAACAGGGGGTGCTGTGAAATTTATTTTGGTGCTTTTTTGGACAAAAGACCTAGGAGCCTACAGTCCTATTTAAAATACAATTTAAAAAACATTTGTAAATAGAGATTCACTACTTTATTGTTATATACACCTCAGTGCACTCAACCAGGGTCTGTAACACTCAAACATCAGCACTTCTTAGGTGAATATATGCTGCACTATAAATTAAACTTCACAATAACACTAAAATAATGTAGATTTGGTCAGCTGGCAGGAACCCAAGTCACACATGATTCTATTAGCTCCAAAATCCTTTCATGCAAACCAAAAGGAAATAATTATATTATTATACTATACAATATTGAACAGTCCTTCACATCCATCACAAAAAGAACAGAAGATCAAAATAACCTTCTAAAATACTATGGTTATATTAAACTGCACAAAAAGATATGAAACTGGGTGTCAGCACCATGCTCTTACTTTGAGCTATAGGCAGGTTGCCCTGGTTAAAGGTGTCCAAATGTTCATGTGCGCTCTGAGGTTGAGGAGAAATGCATTTCTGTGCCATATTTACTTCTCTTTTCTTGTCATTAGACTATGCAAATTTACTAGTCGGCTGTCGTGAGTGGGGTACCTCTTTACTTGTGTTGATTAGGCCTCAAAATAATTCAATAAAAATTCAAATACACATAATAGTGTAATAAAAAAGTCCAAATAATTTCCCAAAATATTCATAAGAAAATAATAAATTCTGCAAAGTATTTTAATACATTACTTTAAAATCTCCCTCTTGCCACTAGGGGGTGCTGCAGCACCCCCAACAACCCCACTTCCCGCACCCAAGAAAGGGCCGTTATTATTTCCTGAATAGATTGGCTGATGGGTGGGGCATTTTCTAAGATTCAGATCAATCCGGAAAGCCAGCCCACCTTGGAGCAAATTTTTTTATGTTACCATGGTAATTACCATCCTGCTTCATGGTACAGCCCTCTGCACCTCCTTTGTTTGTCGGTCTATGTAGTCCTTAGTGATGCAGCTTCCATTTGCCAGTTCATCTTTGTCCTTTCTCCTTTGTGCCAGACAAGTGTTTTTAAACGCAGCTTCAATTTGGACCTGTCTCCGTTTCTTGATACTTCTGATTTGATTATATTTTTGGCCCCAGGACTGTATCAAAAGTACCATGAACCTAAACCAACTGTGTTGCAGTCTGTATTTGAGTCCTCTACTCTAAAGCCTTGTGACACATACATTCTGGCATTAATGATAGATGGAATTCTCAAATGACTAACATTTTCCCGTCGTCTTCTTTTAAGGAGTAAGATTGATCACCAGTTTTAAAATTTTATAGCTGAAATTGCAGCCATGAATTTGACTTCAGGGTTGAAAATACTGAACATTCTACCAGGAGCCATTATAGTGAATACTGTCCAAAATATGTAACAAACAAGCATGCATACAAAAAACTGCACATCTTTGATGTACGTAATGTACACAAAAACAGCATTCCAGATTCTTTGTCCGTTGTATTTTTTTTCTTTTTAAAGGGCGTTAATTCCTGAATGCCTCCTGAGTCCCCCTACATCCTTCCTGGCCTCAGCTGACATAATCCACACAGCTCTGTTATGTCTAAACCTATCAGTGGTGTCAAAAGTACACAAATTTGTTACGTAAGTAGAGGTATAGGTACTGCAGTTTAAAAACACTCGTAAAATTTGAAGTATCAACTTGACCTCTTTACTCAAGTAAAGGTGAAAAAGTATGTGCTCCAAAAACTACTTAAAGTATAAAAGTATAAAGTAACCTTTAAAAAAACAGCCAGATGCCACTATATGAATTGAAATAATATTACAGATTTTTTAGAATAAAAAGCTAGCAGATGTGCATAATCAAAAAATAACAGAAATACAGTTATAGAGCATTCAGTATTGTAAGAAAGCCCACACTGTTTCTGAATAAATACATTATTGTATGAGTTAAGTTCTGTTTCGTTTATGTCTCTTTCCTTGTAAGTGTGAAATGTCCGATGCTCCTGAATGCCCCATAGCTAACTGACGCTATAAATGTGAACGCATCGCGCTGGTCTGTGAACGCTGTGCTGTGTACAGTAGATGCGCATTTGATTTTCTGCTTAAGACAAAGCTTTGCAGTTTCAAAACTCCCATCGGCTATCACTGTGTATTGTTATGTATGAATAACAAGACTACAACAAATAAATCAGCCGTATATAGTTCTGACAAAATCTTTGGATTTAATGTTGCTCATAAAACCCATACTTTTGTGAATGAATCTGCCAAATAACCATATTTTTTTTCCCCACAAGAGGACTATTTAAATGTTTTTATATCATTAATATAACAACAAGTAGCTCCACTGGTCATATTTTAATCCATTTTATCGCATTTGTACAGAGCAAGGCGCGATCCTGCGACTGGGGATTCACATGTCAGCAGGCATTCACTTTTCGGCATAACACCGGACCGGGGTCCGCTAATCCATGACCTCTGCATTAAACCGAAGCCAGTAACGAGTAACGTTGAAACTGTAAGGAATACAAATTACAGATACTTGTGTGAAAATGTAATGAGTAGAAGTAGGAGGAAAATAAGTAAAATGAGTACTTAAGTACAGTAACGAAGTATTTGTACTTCGTCACTTGACACCTATGAAGCCTATAGAATATTATTCAACATTGCATTCTTAGAGATCGCTATATGATGGGGGACCAGACATGATGGCATGCTACCTGTTTTCACTCCCCTGGTCCCATCCTCTCGCAACAGACAGGCGGATCACCAAGCAGCCAACATCATTCTTTATTTTCCTGTGATCTTGAATTCATGTCAGCCGTGTGGTCTATTATGTGTAGTGACTGTTCAGGTCCCTAGGATGGTTACCGCATTTACACTACCCTTTATAAACCGTGCCGAGACCAAACCGAGCACAGTAACCGAGATAACTGTTAAGCGTAAATGTAACGCAATTGAACTGGACTGTGCCTGACACAACCGAATCTTGCTCAATCTAGTACTAGTTCAACCATAGGACTCGGCACGGTTCATCTGTGGCTCAGTTCACTAATAACAAAGAGTGCATGAGCAGACCGCGTTATCTCCTATTTACAGTCAACTGACTCATTTTCACAGATCTCTTCACCTGTTCACAACAAGAACTTCTTCTCAGCCTATTAATAATGAATTACACCAAAAGAGCATGGTGCGACCAGGGATGATGCAGAGACTGAGACTCCCATTGAAATTTGGGCTGAGGACGCTATCCAGGCACATAAGCTCCTGAATGTTGTGGGTGCTGCATTTTTGTTTGCATAATTTCTGCCTTGAGAGCTGTAGTATCGTGGATAGGAGGTGAGAGCCTGTGCAAGGGTGAGGTGTGATTGGTCATGATAACAAAGCTTGGCAAGGTTAACTGATCCAAGTTCGGTCCCAGCTCTGCACGGAGGGGTAGTGTAAATGGGGCATATGTGTCCCCCCGAACGCCAAACTTCATTTAGGACGTTGGTTTTCATGAGAAATCTGGTCGGTCTGTCATAGTCTTAATTTAGGCAAGAAATAGTTGTTGAAATCTGGGCTGTTTTTGGTAAGTTTGATTTTATCCCACTTTAATCCAATAATAGAAGTTGAAAAGACATTGAAAGCTGGGATTTTTACATCTTTTCAATTATCTGAAAATTACAGCTTTACACCTTTCACTTTTCAACCAAATGTAGACATCATTTTGACGTAAATAATCTCGTCTTTTTTATGTCTTTTCAACCAATTTTTGCTCAGTGGGTTAGGTTTTAGCTATAGTGAACCTTTAAAAGACCTATTTTATTTTATAGAACCCACAAATATAGCTGTTCCAAACTATCAATATCACGTCCTCTTTCTGCTCCAGGCAGTCACTTATAATGTTGGCTGATAATGCTTTAATCAGGTTCATAGTTTCTTTAATTATTAGGATTATTTTGATATTCCTTTGTGGGGAAGCAAGGCAAATTTCACCTCACATGACGTGCTATTTTTTTAACAGTTCTTCAGGGCAAAACCAGACACTGCATTTGCCAATTTTTTCACTTCTGGAGGAGATGGAATGGTGATAACTCGTTTCAAAAAGCACCGCCGCCTGCAACACAAACACAGTTTGTAAATTTGTTATCACCATTCAGTGTTAAAATCAATTAATGTTGAAGTTATTACATGTGAGTATCTGTATAGAGCTCATAGAATACTGTACCAAACGTCAGGAAAAGGGAAGCTTTCAGTGATGTAAGTGTAGAACTGGCAGTTAGGGTTTTGAGTGCATGTCTGTTGGCAGTCATCTGCATTACGTACAACCTCAGAGCGAAAATCAGAACCAAAGAAATCCACTCCTTCATAAGTCAGTCTGAGCCAGCCTGTCAACGATATTGATTCTCATAATTTTGCCATGTATCATGCCTAGAAAGTATCAATGCTATACAAAGCAGATCCTGATCTACTAAAACATGACTTGATAGCCCCCATGGGTTGAGATTATTCCTTGTTTCCTGTTCTAGACTTAGACTTAGACAATCTTTATAATCTTTTTTGCCAAAAGGACATTTCGTTTTGTACTGCTCTCATGACATTTCCATTTCTTAAATTGCAGCTGTGATCAAACGTATGCTATGAGGTTAGCATTATTACATTCTGTGCTTACTTGTAATATAAGAAGAGAGTGATTGTCTGTATTGAGCTTTGGATTCAAACCTCGGATCAATACCATAAAGTTTGATATGACCAGATAAGAGTATTTGTCTGGAGTGGATGGAGGTGTCACAAGGATGGATGTAAGAGAACTTGTATGTGTGTGTTCATAACTAACAGAGTGTGCATATAAGGAATGTTTATGGCAAAAAGGGTTCTTTTCTATTGGGTTGACTTTCTTTGGAAGGGACAGTTTTTCCTTACACTTCTCATAGTCTGTCAAGGTGCACAAAACAAAACTTTCAGGAATGATGTTCTGCTCAAATTTCCACATATCTTCGTATATATATATATACATATATATATATATATATATATATATATATATATTTTTTTTTTTTTTTCCCTTTCTACCAAGTGATCACTGCAGCATCTGCATCCCAGTAGCATTGGCTCCAATTCATCTGTTGATCTCTCGATATTCATATCACTCATAAACAAGAACCAAATACTTAAAATCCCCTACTTACAGTATGCTATTGCTTTAAGTATGGGAATGTTATATATGTATTGTGCTGTAATATCCTGTAGAATAAATTATGTAATAAATGATAATGCAGTAAGAACAGCAAATTGTAAGTTTCAGTCAGAGCTTGCCAATAAATTATAGGGAAAGGGTTTAACAAACTTGAAAACTGAAATCAACAGCTATTAAGATTGCTTTTCTGAAAAATTAGTCAGGTTATATTTTAATCTGTGATATTCTTGTAACAGTGTGTTCAGTTTGCGTGTTGATTGCTGGTACATACTCTCATCAATCCGACAGAAACGTGATGGAATCCCTGATGTGACACCTCTTTTTGACTGGACCACAAGGCTGTTTGGGTTGTTCTTCAAAATACATCCAAAGTTATTACTGTGGAAACAAAAAGAATGTGCAAACATAATTTTTTGATAACATAACAGAATAAACACATTCTGCCAATCAAGCCAGTTAAGACAGTAACGCTAATGTATCATCTAAAAATCAATCTGTCCCTTACACAATATACACAATATGCATTACCTGCTAAAGGAAAAGTAAGTGCACAGAGGCTGGACCGAACACAGGAATTGACAGTATTCAGGGGAAACAGCCTTAAGCTCCAAGAAGTCATTGCCTGGAAAGTCGGTGTCTTGAAACAGTTGGGTCTGACATGCTGCAAAATACATATACAGAATGATAAGCAAAAAGGCAAGATGGTGGGAATTTAAGTTATGACACCAATTATAAATTTACCAGAGCCAATTTGTTGAGTCAGTTGCGGTTTTCTGGAGAATCCAGAAATGACTCCAGGCTTTCTTTCTATTGCTGGGATCCTTGGGACATTAAAGCTGAATTTAAGGAAACATTTGTACCTAGAATAGAATGGATTAAATTTTTAATTTTACACTTTTTGAGCTAATAGCTTCATGCCACATGTATTTAAACATCCAGCCATCTATTCTCCATCACGCATATCCCAGCTAGATGCCTATCTCCAGCTTTCAATGGGTGAGGGGCAGGGTACTCCCTGAACGGTCGCAAGTCAATCACAGGGCAACACAGAGACAAACAGGACAAACAACTTTTTCACGTACACACCTAGGGAGAATTTAGAGAAGCCAAAGAACCTAAATGTCATGTTTTTGGACCGAGGGAGGAAGCCAGGTTACCCAGAGAGAACCCACACATGCACAGGGAGAACATGCAAACTCCATGCAGAAAGACCCCAGGCAGGGAATCAAACCCAGAACCTTCTTGCTGCAAAGCAGCAGTGCTACTGACTGCGCCACTGAGCAGCCCACTGTATTTAAACATGTCTTATAAATTAATGTCCCTAAGAAACAAATGTTGCATGTATCTTTTCACTGTTTATCTTTTATATAAATTGTATGTTTTGCCAGGAAAACAAAATTTAAATATAACACATAAAAAAGAGTAGTTTTGTGGACCTTTGTAGCAGCAGTAAAGTGACACCTGAATTACTCTGGACCCCACCCATCTATCGATCTCTTACTCTATCTTAGTAACCCTTATTATTAAAACACCATAATACAGTAAGAACTTATTCTTAATGAGGGGAGCAATCTTTTTTTCCCAGTTGTGAATGATAATCTCAAACCAAGAGCAAGAAATACATCTAAAACCCAAAAAAAGATTATGTACATAATTAACACAAAAGAATTTTGACTTTTTGATGAGAATAAAGAAGCCACTTATTCTTTGGACATACCAGGATCATAAAGCCTTAAAACCCCCTTAGTTTGTCTCATGATCACCAAACAACGCTTGAAATTTCCTTAAAACTCTTGGAAATTCCATACGTGTAAAGAGCTGGCAAAATTTTCCAGCCAACAGCAACTGCTGAATATGAAAATTGGTCTGCCACTGCATCTGCATTGCCCCGAACCCGCAATTGATGTGGCTGGTCAATCACCACTGCCAATCCAGTTTTAGGGCCCAAATTAAGTAGAGCTCTAACTTGCATATGTCCAGGATTTCTTCCAAGTAGAAGAAAGTCAAATTCTCCTTTTCTGTTGCCATTTGGCCAAAAGCAAACACATCAGAGTTCTTCAGAACTTTCTGTCTCATACTTTCCTAGTGCTGAGCTGCAGTTTAGGTTAAACACATTCTGCTAGTTATTTATATGCGCATGCTTTTTAATAAATTTTTTTCATTTTTTAAAATTGTATTACTTGTGAATGATTACATCCAGAGATGGGAAGTAATGAAGTACAAATACTTCGTTACTGTACTCAAGTAGATTTTTCTGATATTTTTACTTTACTTTACTGCTTATTTTTATGGTGACTTTTTACTTCTACTCCTTACATTTTTACACAAATATCTGTACTTTTTACTCCTTACATTTGAAAAAATTGGCTCGTTACTTTAGTTTTGAATAATTTCAATGGAGTTTCCGTTATTATTTTTCACGTCATCAATACCAAATTCAATCTAATTGGATGGGAATCTACATTGCATTTGACGCACCACTACAAGATGACTCGACAGATTCGGCGGTATTCATTGGCGGCAAATCCTTGCAGCTTGGTGGCGGTGGCGTTAGCATAGTAGCATGGACGACGAGATGATTGAAAATGAACACAACGGAGATCTAGTCCTATTGGCAGACATCCATTTAAAATGTAGGCAACGGCATGAAAAAAGTTTTTTCTACTTTTACTTTTATATTTTAAGTAAATTTACAAGCCTGTACTTTGTTACTTTTACTTGAGTAAAGAAGTTTAATCAGTACTTCCACTTTTACCAGAGTATTTTTTAACACAAGTATCTGTACTTTAACTCTAGTATGGAAAGTGAGTACTTTTGCCATCTCTGATTACATCATTGACAAAAAACTGAATTTTCTCTTGATGTTGTTTAGTCCGCAAATTTATTTTGTTCATATGAATCAAAATTAGAACCAAAAATCTTAAAACTTCATTTGTTTTTGTTATAAAATAAAGCATCATATAATTCACAATTACCTGATATCTGACTGCGGGAAGTCTCCTGTTATAAAGGTATAGAACTGACAGCGGGGATCCCCAGTGCAAAGTCTTTGACACTCTTCCAGGTTGGCTGTGAATAGGTTTGTATAGTCTGCTCCAAAGAAGTCCACATTCCTAAACACCTGTCGAAGACAAGGCGCTGAAACACAGAGAACAGAATGATAGTCAAAGAAAGCATTGAATAATTCAAGCAGCAGGAGGAAAAAAACCAAGGGAAACTGTAGAAATGTTTTCATGTTGCTAAAACTGATTAATTTACAGTTACTTTGATAGAATTTAATCAAAGTCAAACATACAATAAATATATAAGATATATTATTTAAAATACAATAGTAGATGATTCAATTAGCGATTAGAAATATCTGTGTCAACCTACTTGGGTTTGGATTGCAGGGTTTGAGAGAGTAGCCAGAAGTGACACCTTGCAGTGGTATTTGAGATTCAGGCTTACCAGAAGAACTTGATTTAAGGTAGCATTGGAAGTTGCTGAAAAGATGGAATTTTCACCATATTTAATTGAAAAAAAATCTTAATTAATAAGTCTTTTTTTTTTTTATCTATGAAATATATAGTTTTGTTTTCAGTATCTATCTCTCCTACCCTGTGGACCTGTCTGCCCGATTGAAGCTGAAGAAGAGGCACGAGGGTTCCTGGGTGCACAGCTGCTGGCAGTGCTCCACAGATGGAGAGAACAGGAAAGTAATGTCTGATCCAGGAAAATCCACATTCTCCAAAAACCCTGGAATGCATTCTAAGGAAATCAAGATTCTTAAATGTGCAGAAAGAAATTGGCACGCAGGTGAAAAGAGAAGGACATCCCTGTGCTGTTAAATGTGCCAGGCATGTCGTCAGATCATACAGAGAGCAATGTGTGTGTATTACCTTGACAGAAGGAAAGGTGGCCTATCAACAGCATGTATGCTAAAAAATAGCTCACCATATTGTATCACTGATGTTCCTCAGAGAAATGAGACTGCTAAATATGAGCCAGGGGTAAATAGTCAAATGCAATTAGGACAAAGGGCAGATCACAGAATCTGCCATGTATTGCAAAAGGTCTAAACCATTCCTTTTTTGTTTAATAGTGAGTCAATGAGATCAAAACCAAACTTATGTTATGTAATCATTTTCAAATGGAAACAAAGTTTGTTTAACTATAATATAGTAAATAATCTATCATGTGCTCACAAGCTTCACATTTTTAACAGCTCTACAGTAGGCAAAACCCAATAACACTGTGTGACAATGACCTCTGTTATCAGTTTGAAAAGGACAGGATGACATGACATGTCAGAGAGGTGCTGCAAGTTTTTAAGCAGGTAGAGGAGGATAGATTGGGAAGCTTCATTCAATTATACTGTTTTATAAAATTTGATCACTGATAGCTGAACTTTATTGATCTCACATTGGAGAAATTTACCTCTGCATTTAACCCATCCCTTAGGGGAGCAGTGGGCTGCCATTGTGCAGAGTTAAGGGTCTTTGCTCAGAGACCCAGGGTGGCAGTCTGTGAAAGTGGGAGAACCTAAGGATTCCAAGTTAGCTCATTTTAATTACAGCAAAAGTTAAAGTTACGAAAGGAACCTTTGTTGTAGTAACGGCTGTTCTTGTGAGACCTAAGTAAAAATCCCACCATGCTGCTGGAGCCTAAGGTAACTGTTAGTATAAATCTACATGAAGTGGTGACACAGTCAAGACAAACAGCCATATGCAAGAAAATCTGGTCAAATCCACCAATGCTGATATTATGTGATAAAGAAAATAGGGACACAAAGATAAATATTTGTGAGTCCCTATTTAGTTAGTATTTATTATTATAAAAAACCTTGATTATCCAAAGTTTATCCCCACACACTGTCTACCAACTACATCCCTCACAGTTACGCAGTCTAAAACTAACACATAATGAATGCATAAAATAGGGAAACAATAATACAGTCACAAACTTAAAGAGCAATGCTAAACAAGATAACTTAAAGACAACAATGAATATTAACTCTACTGATATTCCCTTCAGTCACATGCGTGCTGTAATATGTTGTCTCCTAAGAAACGAAGCCTTTTAGTTTGCCAGAATAAGGTCTTGAGTTAAAATCTCTTTCCTAGATACATTTTTAAAGTCCAATCCATCAGGCCTAAAACATATTTTCCATGTTCTTTTTTCTTGATGAAACAATACAATGTTGTTTTTTTTTAACTCCTAGATGGGCGTGCAGGTGGGGCAGTGGATAGTGTGCACGACTGATGGATGGAGGCCTTAGTCCTCGATGTGGCAGACCCAGGTTCGAATCCGACCTGTGGTCCTTTGCTGCATGTCTGATACCCCTTTCCTGTCAGAAAAGTGTGCCATAAAAAATAATAGTAAAATCTAAAACTCCAAGATGATTTGCTAGTGTTACTTTCTAACTTAGTTGAGATTGGGGCTGATCCAAATGGCAAAGGTTAGATCCTGTTTCCGGTTATTTATTCTTCATGGGACTCACTGAAAAATGTGAATCAGAATTTCTAATTCTCCATTTTACACTAAAGAAATGCACGGCTAGAACACATTTTCACTGTATTATGTATCAACTTACATTTTTTGTATTGTTTATTATGGTGTAGTATTGTTATGCTGTATAACTTTTGATTTTTCAAATTTAATTTCTGGAGTCGGAGTCACTTTCAAATATAAAGGTTGTTACAATGTGCATGGCCCTATTGAATATTCTTTTATAATGAACCGACAAAAACTTATACAAAATAAAAACAAAAACTAAAAGTATAATAGTTTGTTTTATTCCTTACATACAGAAAAAAAGAAATCAGCAAATTTTAGTTTGAAGTCAACAGACAATTTATTTCACATACATATAAATGTTTTGATGGGTTAATCTTGGGATTTTTCTGCTTTTCTACAGTTTCTTAAGGTGAAACCAGACACAACATTGGCCAGTTTTTTAACTTTGGAAGGAGCTGGCATGGTGATCACTCTCTTCATGTAGCAACGGTACCTATAACATAAAAACATCACATTTCACTGCTGTTGCCAAGTGATATAAACGTTACTGACAGTTGAATTTGCATGATTTCAGTGTATCACCCAGGTCTCAACACATTTTCTAATTAAAAATATTTTAAAGAAGGTAGAAATAATAAGTTGTTACCGATGGCTGGGATGAAAGAAGCTTCCATTGTGGTAGGTGAAGAATTGGCAGTTAGGGTTCTCAGTGCATTTCTCCTGACAGTGTTCAGCACAGTTCACCACCTCCGAACTAATGTCAGATCCGCTAAAATCTACTCCTTTGTAAGTCAGCTTCGCCCAACCTGTAAGCAAAAATGTTTATGGTCAAATTATTGCAAGTTGCTGCAATCTACATGCTCAAAAATACATTTATTTTTCCAAGAACTGAGACAATCGTTTATTTGAAATCTCGTTTCTCTGAAATTATATCACCGTAAACATATATCAAAGAACTTTCCCTTCTTCACCCCCTTCTCTAGCCTGGCACGGACATTAAATATACATGAGGAAATAAAAGAAAGTGATGTGAACTGAAATGTTTTGTACTTCTAAAATTTCCAATTCAAGGTGAGGCAAGGTCAACTAAACATCAGCGGACACCAAAATGCAACTCATAAGGAAGTCAGACCAAACTGGTGAGGTTTGCTTTGTTGTTGTAATATTTGTATGCAAGGCAATTCACTTTGCTTAAAAGGAAACTTGAAGACATTGTTTAAATTACTGCTAAGATTGCTTACCCCATGACCCTGTTCTGAATATGTTGCTAAAAGCTGAAAATCTGATAGCAGATAAATATTCCTCTCTGAATTGTCTCTGTAAACTGCCTTGAGATGACATGTGATATGAATTAGCACTATATCAATAAAATGAATTAGATTAATCTGATAAACCTTTCAACTAACCTATGGTCCTGATAAAAAAAAAAAAAAAAAACAGCTGCACCTGGAGGCTGGTTTTGCTGAACACCACTGCAACTAAATTAAATGAAAATACAACAAAACTAAGGCAACTATTTTTTTAAAGTGTAAACTACTAAAAAAAATTAATCTAAGTCATTTTTTCTTAAAGGTATATTGGAGGATGTTCTTTTTCTGGTTTAGCATCAAAAATAAGTGGTCCTCCTAATTGGTAAACATTCTGGTGATATTCCCAAAAAAGTTAAAAGAACAATCAACTGGACTTTGTTTCTAAAGTGGGCTTTTTTTTTTTTTTTTTTTACTTTTTTGGAATGACTATGACCTGGATGACTGAGAATCTTATATTTATGTTTACATATCCTATGTGCTCTTCTCCATTTTCACTTATGGGTGGTGAGTCTGACAGAGGGGAAAATTTGCAAATATTTTGCAAACAGCAAATTTTAAACAGAGCATGCACGATGAGAAATGGGCTCGTGCAGGCTCTACCACGCGTTTAATAGGCAATCTCTCTCGGGAGCGGGTACAGGGTTTACATGTGCATTTTTTGTGGAGAGGGCGGCTCTCTTCAAAAATTTGCGAAAATCCTCCACTATACATTCAACAATAAGTGCATTTCTTCTTCAATTACGGAGCTAAGTGAGACACTTTGCCAATGGAATGAGACAATTTTCAATAGATATAAGAAAAAAAAAAATTTGCATTGTCTTATTTTAAGTAGATATCTAATTATCTTATTCTAAGAGTAAAAATGGTCATTCCATTGTCAAAATATCTTATTTACGTACTCAGATTAAGGGTAAATACACCTAATTTAGGAATTATTTGCTTATTTCTAGATTATTTTCGAAGTGTATTGCTAGTGGAAGAGTGCCGTGTTTCGGATTTTGTGTTGTGATACATACTCTCATCAATCTGACACAGGTGTGTCGGGATTCCTGATATGACACCAGTTTTTGTTTTGGCCACCATGCTGTTTGGATTGTTCTTCAAAAAACATCTGAAGTCATGACTGTAGAAATATGAAAAAAAAATGTAAGATTGAATAACATTTAGTTTTAATGATAATGCATTTACAAACCAAGATGTATTGTTTAGCACTCAGACAGTGACATACCCGCTGAAAGAGAAGTATGTACACTGTGGATGGACAGAACAGAGAAACTGACAATGTTCTGGAGAAACAGCCTTCAATTCCATAAAATCACTTCCTCTGAAGTCGGTGTCTGAAAAAAGTTGGCTCTGACATACTGCATCAGACACAAACAAGGTTATAAAGGAAGCAAAAATCGTCAAACACATTGAGACGCTGCAGATGTTTGCATACCTGTGTCAAACTGTTGAGACAGTTGGGATTTTTTGGAGAATCCAGATATGACTCCAGCCTTCAATACTATAACAGAGGGCCTTGGCACATTCCAGCTGAATTTAAGGTGGCACTTATACCTAGAACAGAAGGAAGTTTTAGAAAGACAGAGCCTTGAAAAGTTCAGTTTAGGCAAATCGACGTGAAGTTTTCTAGAAGACGTTTCTCCTATCATCCAAGAGGCTTCTTCAGCTCTAACTAATAATGGGGAGCACTGAGGCCCCGTCCACACGAAGTCAAAACGAACACGAAACGCTGATATTTTCCAAAACGTTTGCCGTAAAGACGGAGATGTAAAATAAATGTGAGTGTCCACACGAATGCATGAAAACGCCGCAAAATGTATGCCAGGCCTGTAAGTGGCGCTGTGGTGCCAAAGCAAAAATAAGCGACGAAATGTTGGGCATGCGCACTAATATTTATACATGGTTGCCCTGCGGGTCAATTTTCGTGGTTAAGTCAAATTCAGGTGCTGAACTATGTCGTCGATATTGCTCTGTTCTTCCTGGAGATATTCCAGAAGAAGAAGATTCTGTTGTAAGCCCGACAGCAGGGTGAGTAGCATTAGCAGCAACGGCGCCATTGTTGTTGTGATACTGTCTCGCGCATGCGTGTTTAGAGGCGACGCTATGACGCATGCGTGTAAAAAAAAAAATGCGGTTAGAGCGTAAAGATGGAAACGCGAAAACGCCGTTTCGAAATCTTCCCACTCTGAAGGCTGAATAAAAAAAAGATTGTTTACAGACCCCCGAAACGCCGGCTTCGTGTGGATGAGAGGCTGGTTTGGTGAAAAATTTGTGCGTTTAGGCCAGGGTTCGTCTTCGTGTGGACGGGGCCTGAGATTAAAGTGCTCCCCAGGTTTAACAGAGAATTAGGGGGAAAAAAAACAAAAGGTGGCTCTATAGAATAGAACATCCGATCTTCACTCTTATGGTAACGTTGAAAAGGTCGGTCAAGGGAGTTTGGTCGTCTGGTCCACATGTATCGTGTCAGCTTTGGAGAGAAGTTTCTGCCCTTTCCTTTGAATTATTTCAGTTTGAACCATAGACCTGGCTTCAATATTTTCAAAACCAGCAACAAAAATATAATTCCACTTGTTTCCACATACTTTAACATACTATGGCATGTATTTATTGAGTTGCACGCTGTTCTACACTAAGTATTTTCTCTTCACTCTGTCTTTATATCATAAAATAAAAGAAAACTACTGAAATTCACTAAAATCAATATTGTATGCAACAAATAATAAATCAATTGCTTTAAACTTGACTTGATTTTTATTTTTAACAAATCTATTTTTACCTTTAAAATAACATTATCTGAGAATTGGAAATTCAGAAACTGGACTCATATTTCATTTAGATTTTTTGAGCAAAGTCATAAAAAACTTCTCATATAGAAAAAAAGTTAGAGGTACAGTACATTAAAAGTTATTTTAACAATCGAAAACAATAATGGTCTGCTCAGTGTTGCAGTGAATAGCAGTGCTGCCTTGCAGCAAGACCGTTCCATGTTTGGTTCCCAGCCTGGGATCTTTCTTCATGGAGTTTGCATGTTCTCCTTGTGCATTTTTGGGTTCTCTCTGGATACTCCGGCTTCCTCCACAGTCCATAAACATGACTGCAAGGTTAATTGGATTCTCTAAATTCTCCTTAGGTCCGTAGACAGCTAGAGATAAGTACCAGCATCCCTCCATCTGACAGAAAATCGATGGATGGATGGAAAACAATAAAATATAAAATTTTAAAAGAATTCCAATGCAAGGAAATTTTCATAAAATGCATTCTAACTGGAGTCACTAGAACAAAAAAAAAAAAGAGAAAACAGAGGGAACAAAAACCATCTCTTTATAAGAAAGTGTGTTAAGAGTAAAAGTTAAAAACACTTTTGAAAAAGACTTTTTATAATGTAAAGAAATTTACATTACACTCCAAGGTTTTGTTCTCGATAAAATACAAAAAGAATATTCAAAAGAAGTTATGGCACAATTTACAGACTCTGTTATTTTTTACATGCTTAAGGAAAAAACTTGTAACGTTCTGAGAAAAGACCCAGGTAACACAAAATGTCAGTAGCATTTGTGATTTACCTGATGTCCAAGGTTGTAAAGTTCCCGGTTACAAAAGTAAAGTACTGACAGACTGGATCTTCTGTGCAGACTCTCTGACATTCTTCAAAATTAACAGTGAAAAATGTTCTGTAATCTCCACCATGGAAGTCCAAATTCTCAAAGATCTGTGGGAAGCAAGGTTCTGGAACATTGGTAACAAAAACATGGTCACTGAACATTTCAGAGAGGTAGACATGTAAAGATTCTGTAACTAATATAAATCTATTTAGGTTTAGGTTCAGTAACACAAAAAAGAACAAAATTTTGGACTGTGGGAGGAAGCCAGGTTACCCAGAGAGAACCCAGACATGCACAGGGAGAACGCACAAATTTTTCACCAAACCAGCCTCTCATCCACACGAAGCCGGCGTTTCGGGGGTCTGTAAACAATCTTTTTTTTATTCAGCCTTCAGAGTGGGAAGATTTGGAAACGCCGTTTTCGCGTTTCCATCTTTACGCTCTAACCGCATTTTTTTTTTTACACGCATGCGTCATAGCGTCGCCTCTAAACACGCATGCGCGACCAGTATCACAACAACAATGGCGCCGTTGCTGCTAATGCTACTCACCCTGCTGTCGGGCTTACAACAGAATCTTCTTCTTCTGGAATATCTCCAGGAAGAACAGAGCAATATCGACGACATAGTTCAGCACCTGAATTTGACTTAACCCCGAAAATAGACCCGCAGAGCAACCATGTATAAATATTAGTGCGCATGCCCAACATTTCGTCGCTTATTTTTGCTTTGGCACCACAGCGCCACTTACAGGCCTGGCATACATTTTGCAGCGTTTTCATGCATTCGTGTGGACGCTCACATTTATTTTACGTCTCCGTCTTTACGGCAAACGTTTTGGAAAAAATCAGCGTTTCGTGTTCGTTTTGACTTCGTGTGGACGATAAAATCAAGAAGCAGCATTTTTGAGGTGCCTCTCTCTCTTGCATGTTTGAGATAAATTCTACAGTGCTTCTATAATATAAAGCAGCAACATAAAAAAGCTATATATCAGGCAAATCTATTTCCAACTATAATATCGCAAAAGTGAGCTCTAGAAATGTGAGTGTACCTACTTGAGTCCAGATTGCAGGGTTTAAGAGAATATCCAGAAGTAACGCCCAGCAGCAAAACTTGAGATCGTGGGTGTCCAGAAGAGCTTGATTTAAGGAAGCACTGAAACGTCCTGAAAAACAGAGGAGTAAAACATATGTATAAACACTATTTCAATATTAGATTTTGTACAGTGTCTCCATAATCAGTATTATTAATATTATTGATGTCTTTCCCTCATACCCCAGAGACTTGTCTGGCCGATTGAAGCTGAAGAAGAGGCACGATGGGTGCTGGGTGCAGAGCTCTTGACAATGCTGTGCAGATGGGGAATACAGATTTGCTATGTCGGAGCCAGGAAAATCCACATTCTCTAGAAAACCTCGAATACATGCTGAGGGAATAGGGAAAGGATTCTTACAAGTAGAAAACGAAGACGAATAATACAAACCATTCAAGAGAAAAATTTATATCTATAAAAAGCACTTCTACATGCAGTGTGTAATATTACCTTGGCTGATGTAAAGGCTGCTTACTAACAACATGCACACTGAAACAAAATTGGACTCCATCTTCATCTGCAGATGGTGAAGAGAAAAAAATCAGACAGCTATATCTGAGCAATGGTTAGATAACAGCTTTAATAAATACAGGTTGATCAAAGGGCAGTTTTGCAACCCTCATTGACTGGGACGTAAAAAAAAAAGAAAGAAAAAAGCTCCACAAGGTGCAGCAAATTACTCAAAAGAAAAACTAACTAACCAAGTAAAAGTGTGCAATAATAATAAATCTATCTAACCTATCATATATACATCCAACATGTACTGCTAAAAAAATGCTGACTTATATGACCACATATTCAGTTACAGGTCATATTATCCTTGTTTTTTTTAACAAGATGACATGACACTACAACGATTGGCAGGGTGACATCCAGTGCAGATTACAAAAAGTATCTGAATTAGCCAAAAAACAAATGAAAGCATTTTAAAAAGTCTTTGAAAATGTATTTAAGGGTTTATTATACATTTCTCAATGGGAATAAAGTTTTATTTTGCAATACAGATGTGTCTAAGCTTCCAGTAATAATATTTGTTTATCATATTTCACTTTGCTGACAAGCTTTATTGAGATGCAGGTTTAAAACAGCAGGACTTGGCACAGCTGCTCACCCTCAACCCCAAGCAGGGACCCCCACCCAAGGGCAGGCCACCCCATAGACCCCAGACCCCCCCAGAGGAAAGACTATGCACCCAGCCTCCAGAAGTCCCATCCCGGGGCTCCCAATGCTTTCCCTAGTTGGAGCAACCTGCCTTACATCTGACTCTCACCGAGCCACAAGCCACACAACCCTACTAGGAAAGGTAGCCGATCATAAGTGTCCAGAGAGATTGATTTAGTGATGAAACAGGTTCATAAAATATAACAGAATGTCTTTTTACCTGTAAATATTTAGACTGTTTTTGTTTTTCCAGGTCAAGAGGATAGTTTTCTTTGTAATACATAAGCCAGTGAAGATGACATGGCGAGAGTCATTGTCTAAGGTGACATCATCTAGTTACCCACTAAAGGGACTGATGGAGAGGGTGGAATATTAACACTTTGACAGATCCCCACATACCAGACACCAGAGATTCTGTACAGGCGTGCACAACCATAGTGCAGGTATATAGTCATCCGGTGCATTACTTGAACATTGCAAGCAGATATCAGACTGTGCAAAACCCTTCTTCCACATCCGTTGATCTGGGTAGTGTACTCTATGAAGGATTTTGCATTGTAAATTGTGATTTCTGGTCATGCCAATGGTTCTCTGACAGATTTTCTGTCAGGAGAAATCTGTTGCTTTGGCCCTGGTTAATGCCTGTTCCAGTTCTGTACATTCTCCACCAGGGGGCTTCATCTGCTGGGCTGGGCATGCCACCACTTCCTCAAAGGTTCAACAAGTGCATCAGTCTGAATCAACTGGCAGAATAACAGGAGCAGGAAGCCAGTCGCTCAGTGTTAACTGTCAACTGCTAAATGTCAAACTTTCTCTCCAGTATTCTTTTGAGCATTTTCCTGGTTATTTTCCTGAATCAACCAGATCATCTCACCTGAGGCAAGGCAACTTAGGCAAGGCAAGGCAAATGTATTTGTATAGCACAATTCAGTACAAAGACAATTCAAAGTGCTTTACATGATTAAAATATAGGAAAATAAAACAGAATCAAAGCAATTAGAAAAAATAAAATAAAAAATGCAGAAACAAAAAAGAACATTAAAAACAATTGGACTAAAGAAAATAAAAAAGTTGAACTAATGATGTTTCTGTTGAACTGTTTAACTAGAACAGTCGAAGGCAATCCTAAACAAATGTGTTTTTAGTCTTGATTTAAAGGAACTCAGGCTTTCCACACTTTTACAGTTTTCTGGAAGTTTGTTCCAGATAAGTGGAGCATAGGAACTAAATGCTGCTTCTCCATGTTTAGTTCTGGTTCTAGGTATGCAGAGCAAGCTGGAGCCAGAAGACCCGAGTGGTCTGGAGGGTTGAGGACTTAGCAACCTTTTTTCTCTCATCCTCTGAAAGTATTTTCCAGATCCAGTTCCTCCATGTATGCTCAAATGTCAAGGCACTTCTGCTCAGCTTGGCAATGCCATCTGGATCCCATTTTCATGATTGGATTACTCTCTACAGACCAGACTATGTTTGACCTCTGCAGTTCTCAATACCTTTCCATAGATTGTTCTGTGAACACATGGCAAACTCACTGTTGTTAGGACAACAACTGAAAGTGTTAATTAAGCTCAATGTATGGTCAAACAGAAAATGCTGCACATTTGGAATAGGGGTGTGCAAAATAATCGTCATGATGATGCATCGTGATTCTAATTTTCGTGATCTACTGCATCGATTCTTGACGTCAAGTATCGATTATTAATTTAAAAAAATTAATAAATAAAATTACATGAATGGTTAGCGAACATCAGCCAAAAACAAGTGTAATACAACTTCCAGTCCAGTAGATGTCGCTGCGGATGTGTTGACGCATGCTGCCTTGTGTCACAAGCATTTCCGGCCGCGAGTCAGTCATGAACAAAAGATGGAGGAGATTGAGAAACTTCGTCCGGCTCCATCACATTTCAAATCCGATGTTAGGAAGCATTTTGGTTTTTAAAAAAAAGGTAAAAATGAAGTTGATATGACGCACGCAATTTGCAAACACTGCTACACCAGAATTAAATACTGTGGGAACACAACGAACCTAAAAACACACATGCAGAGAGGCGCCCTTTCAGAAAATCAAGAGCCAAAGATGTTTTCATTTTATTGAGTTAAAGGACCACTGACGCCATGATAATCTTTATTTTGTTATTTTTAGTTTTATAAATCCTAAGCACTTTTTTGTCAATGTATCCACTCCAACAATAGTAATATTTCTGTCCAGTATTTGTTTTCATGGCAACACCTCCAAAAGTAATTTCAATAAATACAGCTATGTATGAATGCAGTTGCTTTCAGTTATTTATCAATTGGAAGACACTACCCAGATCATACTCAGCCATTCAGCCACTGGTAATGGCTGTATTTTTTTCTAACAGAGTTCAGTGAAAATATTGCAATGCATCGCAATAATTCAAGTATCGTGATGCATCGTGATAGAATCGCATCGTGGCCTGTGAATCGTGATTCGAATCGAATCGTGATTCGAATTGAATCGTGACTTCTTTGGCAATACCCACCTCTAATTTGGAATAAATTCACCACAACTACTATTCAAAAAATAGGAATTTATTAAAAGAAAATTAACTCCAAGTCAAACATATTTCAGTTAAAAAACAATGATTCAACTAGTGAAACTAAAACCTAGCTGCTACTGCATTATAATGCAACTAGATCCAAGTTCAGTATTAAATTTATGTTCGACAACCAATGTTTATTTTGAAGAACTTGGAATGAGGTCGAATCAACTTTTAACTATTTCAGAGTTATTTGAATGTGTTCAAATCTATTTACAATGCAAACCCAAAAGGTTAAATACAACATTTGGTAAAATATTTTATTGAATTATTTTCTTAATAAAAAATAAATGACCTTTAGTTGTAGGATTTCTAACCATCTGTGATTGAACTAATAGCTGGCAGACATTAGGTGACTCACCTTGAATTACTCTTTGGCCAGTTTTTGGTAATAAGATGTGATGAACATATGAGGGAACAGATAAACGTTATATTAGTGATTAAACTCTAAATGAAATAATATTTCTTTAGCCATATAAACAGCTGCTGACATGTTTTGAGCTGTTATAAACAACAGTCACCGTCAGCTTTTTGCTAGCCGTAAACAAACGTAAACATCCAAAATAATCCACATTATCAAAAAACCCAAATTGTTAAGCTCAAAACATATTTTCTTACCTTTTGCCAGACCTGTATTGAAGAAGGTTGAGTTTTCTTCTGTTTTCAGCATCTTAGCATGTCAAGCCTGCAGCATGGAAAATATGTCCTTTGTTCAGATCCCCCACTCCTCCAGTCTCGTACATCTAAAGTTTCTTGTAAACTCAAAGGGAAGTGTTGCAGAGCAATCTGTCTTTAAAGCAATATAGTTCTGAGATGAGCAACCAGGTCCAGTTAGCCTTTGAGCAACCTGCAGATTCTGGTTCATGTGGCCTACCTAACATTCATTCATGGGGTCTCTTCAATGTGTCTGACCTCAAAGAGAGACTTTGAATTGATTTCTTTGTCCCAAAGCATAATGGGGAGCAAAATCCCCTGCCGCTGTGGGAGTGTCTGGGAGAGAAGAGGAGGTTTGCAGCATCTTGGAGATTGATGATCAGTTAATATCAGCATGGACAATGATCCTCAATTATATCAGATCTACCATACCTGGATAGATTAAAAGATCCCAAGGCAAAAGATGCAAAGGGGCCCAGAGACAATCCAGCAGGGTGTAAGATACAGGCAGGAAAGGAATACATAGAATGTTACACAAACATCTGTGCAGTACACAATCAGGAGAGCCCCAGCACAAATTGGGAGCCACCTTCCAAGGCGGTGGAGATTGAGAGAGCTAACATCCCGAGGGACCTTAGATGCAAACAGACAATGGTAGATCTGGGCCTCTACTGCTCTAGTGCCACAGGCCTGCTCCTGTGCTACAATGATCGGTGCTTCTGTGCTGTTTGCTTTCACAGTCCAATGGATTTTTTTTTCCATAGTAAATTAGGACTAAACCTTTGATTTCTCCAGTGCTTTTAAACCCCTCATGCCAGGTCCTCTGAGATATATTAGTTGGAGGTTTTATACCTCAGGCTCACTGACATCATCCATATTTCATTACATCATGTATTGGAGAAACAGCTGGTCTCCAGCTAGTTCAGTGTAAGTGGTAGGAGACAAAAGCACCATAACAATCATTTTTAGATAATATCCACCCACCGTACGTATAAAGCTGCTGTAGAACTGCAAAGTTCATTTAGTGACAGAATGTTGTATCCTAGGTGCACAAAGAGCAGCAGACAGAATTTATGACTATCACTGCTTCTAACAAACACAATACGCTTTAAAATTCCTGCAGTTTTATTCCTTGTAAACACTCTGTTGCTAATATGTACATATTTTGTTCAAGTTTTAATCTAAGTGCGTGCACATCTCTTTAACCCCTAGAATTTGGTTTTAATAATTGTAGATTTTTATATTCTTAATTTATGTAATTTCATTCATTTAATATTTTATCCACTATAGGAAAATTCAGGATATGTCTATTCTATTCTATTCTATTCTATTCTATTCTATTGGTAAAGTGACAACCAATTAAAATTGTTCAAGGTCCAACAAATGCAGGTTACTATTACATGAAGATAAACTCTGCATTTAATAAAGCCAGTCATGCAATTAGGGTACCATCTTCAGATGTACAATATATAACCTATGTTTATTCAGGTAGATGTTATGAAGAATAAAAATCTCCTTTTTCAGAACTACCTGGTTAAGAGATATCTATTTTTCAGGGCAAAGTTACCCTTGCACATGTAGGCAATCAGCTTCTCCTTAAAGTATTCCTGAAAATATACAACAGGACAAAAAAATATTTGGGAGTGAGGCAGTATTTGATATCAAAGTTGCAAAAACAATCATCACTTATTAAATCTTGAACTTTAATATATAGTGGAACACAACTTTTGAGGGAAATAAAGCATTGAATAGAATATTAGACATGGATCTTTTCAGAATTTGAGTGAAGCAAGTTGTTTCCTCTTACATGTGCATATAAAACTCAAAATGTTTAATTCGGGCTGTACAAAGGTTTGTGCAGCTTATTCACACCATGCTTAAGAGTCTACTTTTTCTGTGTTATTAGAAAATCATACCTAGTGATGCTTGCTGCTTGGCCCTTACATACTTTAAGATGGGCAACATTGCCTTGTTTGTCAAAGTTTCAAAATATAATAAATGCAGTGCTATTTTCTGACCACAAGATGCCACTCTTGCAGATCTAAGATTTATTTGATCACAGCTGTAAATCAGATAAGTATGGTTAAGACTGATTCACTAAGCTCCATTTTGCAAGTTAGATGTGAAAGTACTTTAAAAATATTTCTTTTCAGTCCACATTGACTCTAGGCTTCCCTTATTTAGTTGCATCTTGCATGTGGTGCAGCAGTGTACAGCAAGGATCTCTCTTATCATTTTGTCTTGAGATCACAGACCCACATACCAGAAGGTAGTATCCAGGATGATGAAGAAATCCCAAAAGGGATCCAGGCATGGCGCAAGATCCCCAGCCAGAGACTCTCATAATATCACATTGGCTTTATGAGTATAAGTGATTTAAAGTGATTAAAAGGGTGTATCAGGTGAGGGAACACATGGCAGATGGGGTTGCCAATAAACAGGAGCATCTGAAAGAGGCTGATGTGACATAAAAACTCATAAAAAAGAACAGTTGATGCTTAAACATAAGTAAGCAACAATAAAACATAAAAAGCTAAAGATCAATACCACCTCTCAGTTACTGTATGACAGCACACTGGAATCTACATTAATTTTAAAAGCTAACCCAGACTGACAGGAAATTCTAGAATGATATAGCAATAAAGTTCTTTATTTAATGAAAACTCTTGGAAATATATGTGAACTTTCTTATGCACTGATGTTTTGTTTTTCAGCTTTTTTAACATTATTACTTGCCTGATCTACTTTGGAACTGTTTGACTCTTTATTAGATGTGGTTTTATTAACTCTTAATTTGTACCTTTGAAAGTATGGGTTTTTGCAATGCATTGTGGGTAAAATGAGCATAACATGATTTACACACTATTCCCACCAAAACAGTGGTGGTTTGGACTGACTAGCATAAGAGAAACATAAACAGCTGTAGATAAACATAGGTTAAAAAAAAAAATAATAATAATAATTTGGGAGGTTTTTGATTTGACTCGAGGTTAAAAGATTGAGCAAATAGTAATCGTTAAAATTTAATATAAGAATGCAACCCCATTCTAAATGACAATAGCTGTTTGGCCATAATAAAATACATTATATGTGAGCTAAAACAAAATCAGGGGTTAAAAACCTGTATTGGGCAGTAGCATAATTGATGTGATCATTAGTGAAATGAAACAGATGACTTATTTTGAAAGTTTGAACTTTCTTTAGAATATTAAGGAAGTAATATATAGATTTATTAATCGTAACAGGACTGAACTGAATTAGAAAATAGTTTTTGTTAAGCATATCCTTGTGAAAACAATGCAAACTTGCATGTTTTCAAAACAAAAACAGGCCTTTGTTGGGCCGCTGTATAAAACCTCGAACTCAACGCTATTCCTGACATTTTTAATTGAGAAAGTTTTTTGGAAGGGAAGCCAAATATCTTCAAACTTGGATACCAAATCCAGTGGATTGTTGTTAATTTTTTTTAGATGTTGAATTTAGTCAATTAGTCTACAATAGGTCAGAACACCTCTGATGTCATCACCCTCAGCACGGGCTCCCCTCAGGGCTGCGTCCTGAGCCCCCTGCTGTTCACCCTGATGACATATGACTGCGTCCCCAGGTTCACCACCAATCACATCGTGAAGTTTGCGGACGACACCACGGTGGTGGGCCTCATCAGGGACGACAACGACCGGGACTACAGAGAGGAGGTGGAGCAGCTGGTGGACTGGTGCAGTGAAAACAGTCTGATCCTGAACGTGGAGAAGACGAAGGAGATCATCGTCGACTTCAGGAAAAACCGCCCCCACCATGCTCCACTGCTCATCAACAGCTCAGCTGTGGAGGTGGTCAGCAGCACAAAGTTCCTGGGGGTGCACATCACGGACAACCTCACCTGGACTGTAAACACTTCATCTCTAGTGAAGAGGGCACAGAAGCGCTTGTACTTTCTGCGGAGGATGAGGAGAGCCCGCCTGCCCCCGCCCATCCTCACAACCTTCTACAGAAGCACCATAGAGAGCATTCTGACCAGCTGTCTCTCTCTGTGGTGTGGAGGCTGCAGAGCTTCTGACTGGAAGAATGTGAGGAGGGTGGTGAGGACAGCGGAAGGAATCATTGGGGCTCCTCTTCCCTCCATTAAGGACATTTCATCACAGCGCTGTGTGTCCCGAGCCCGTAATATCATCAAAGACCCCTCACACCCCCACCATGGACTGTTCTCCCTGCTGCCCTCTGGAAAGAGGTTCCGCAGCATCCGCTGCAGATCCACCAGGTTGTGCAACAGCTTCTTCCCCACTGCCATCAGACTGTTGAACCTTTGATCCACAATCCGAACTCTGCACCTATTGCACATTATCGGGCATCAAATGCTGCTGAACTTTTAACTTTTAGCCCTTTAAATTGTTCATCTCATTGTATTTTTCAATAACGCATTTTTTGCACAAATGCCATTTTGCACTGAACCACTGCAACTTGCACACTGTCTCTTATCCTCTGCACTGTTCACACTTTGACCACTGCTGCACTTTTTGTATTTTTCTATAACTCGTGCCATTTGAAATATCAATGCAACGTTCATAAGCTGTATGTAACGCAATTTCGTTCTGTATGCACCCTGTGCATACAAAATGACAAATAAAGAAGTCTAAGTCTAAAAAAAAAAAAAAAAAGTCTAATAAAAATAAAAAAAAGCTTAAAATCAAAGTGAGAAAATTACCTTTTTGTCACTTCCCAATTTACTCATTTCCTCTTTGCCCTTCCACTTTCTGACAGAACCCTCCTTTTTTCCTCACTGAGCTTCTATATACCCTTTCCTCGCATGCACAGAACCCTTCTTCTTTCCCTTCCCTTCGTCTTCTCTGCTCCCTCTAAGCCTCCCCTCCCCCGTGGGAAAGCCTACACGATGTGAGTGTGGTTGTCCTTCCAGGAAGCTGTGGTGGTGACTCTGGCTCCCCTTCTCAAAGAATTGAATAGTGCCAACCAGTTTGTGCTTTTGTCCATAACTATGGATCTCTGTGTGTGAGTTTGTGTGAGTGTGCGTGCAGCCACTCTCCACGAACATTCCACCACCATACCGTCCGTCTGACCGCCGGCCAGCCGGCCTCGCACGAGAGCCACGCCGTCACTGCGGTCAGGTCCTGACGCCAAGCTCTGAATACTCACGTTACATGCACACACAAGCATACAATGGGGGCTGCACACCACATAAACAAAACTCTGACACACAAAGGCAGTGAAAGCACAAGGGGACTGGCTCAAGCACGCACTAGCACACTCACTCAAATAAACAGTGCACACTTTGCGGAACACACACATTTTTTGGACCACAGACCACAGACATTGCATCCCGAAGTAGATCAAAGCTTTGGCCTGTAATAAACACACACAAAACTCATCTCTCTTCCCTCCGGCGTGCAGCTCTGGTGAAACACAGCATGGCATTGTGGATTTTCAAGAGAAAACAACTGTTTGCAAATGCCATTTATCACTTTTCAGGGTTGTCTTAAACTGTATTCTTCTTTTTTTTTTCCATATAAGCTTTCACAGCCCCTCTCATCAACCTCTAACCCTCTCCCCTACCTCCCACCCCCACCCTGGTATTGAACGTCTATGCTGGATCAGTGAATCGACCACAGCCCTTCAGATCTATGCCTTTTGTTTTCCCTTCTCTCTATCCCTCCTTTTCTTTCTCTATTCATTGTTGAGGAGACAGTGGTGCAGACAAACAGAGAGAGAAGATATCCGCTGGTGTACCACAAGATTGGAGAGAAAGAATGGCGGGGAAACAGCAAAGAACATGGAGGGGGATATATTGGCTGATATGAGGGAGAAGTTAATTAGAGGGGAGCACCAATTAGAGGGCACAGTGATGGGTCTGTTTGCCTCACCGCGGCATCCCAAAAACATCACCATCTCCCACCATGTTTATCCTCTACTGCCGCAAGACCACAGCTCCCATAAGCCATGGCTGGAGACAGCTTACATACTCAAAGGGGTTTACGGCTGGGGAAAATGTTGGCAGTGTTTGCAGACATGACAGATATGGATAAAAGAGGAACACAGCGCTGTCTCTTTGCCATTCCTTTGCTCTCTGTGTTGACAGCTGCAAAAACACGCCCGCTATTAGTCATGAAGTCAGTGAAAGAAGGCAGAAACAGATACACAGGGTGAAGGCACTTAAACTTTATAGGGGTTGTTGTCAAACATTCTCTGAAAAGGAAAAAAAAAGTATTTAAATGTATAAACATTTTTTAAAAAAAGGAGATGAATCACAGCTCAAAGTTAAGTCAAAACTCAACCTCAACTTTTATTGAGGGAAACCATATATATATGGCTCTAGGGAACTATGTTTGTATTTGTCACTCGCAAACATGGATACAACTGAGAAATTCCTTCACATTCCTTCATATACAATTGTAATAATCTAAAATTTCACTCATCTTCTTTTATGGCTTTTGGAGTCCCTAAAAAGAGACAATGCTCATACATATTTGCTACATGGTGCAAATGAAAGGTCCGTGTTCACTTAACAGAGTTTGTTTGTTAGAGATTATCTTCAAAATGCTCCAATCTCAGTTCCCCATCCCTGCGGAGCCTTGGATGCTCCACTGAGGCTCCTTCTCTGGGCTGCTGGAGAGCCAAGAGATGCAAAAGGCCGAAAGGACACTTGGGGAGCGGCTGAAGATGATGAGGCGGAAGACGAGGAAGAGGGAGAAGAAGAGGAAGCAGTGGGAAGAGGTAGAGGTGAGGCACAGGTGGTGCTGTGTGGGGATGGCTGGTTTGGTCTGGAGGGGCACAGAGCGGGAGATGTTGGGAGGGAGGTCACTCTGTGGATGGGGGTCAGGGCTGTTGGGCCGAGGAGTGGGGGTATTCCCTGCTGGCAGCCAGCCAAGGGGGTGAGACGGAGTGAGGCAGATGATGGGTAGCTCCCAAGCAGGGCGAAATCCCTTCGCCCACTCGAGAAAGATGGCGAGGAGGGGGCAGGCGAGGCAGCACCAATAGGAGGGAAGGAGGTCCATGGCCAAGGGGCAAATGGCAAGGCAGCGGTGGGGGGTGACTGCAGGAGAAGAGGGTCCAACTCACTAGCACAGTGTGAGAGGTGAGAAACAAGGCGTGCTCCTATGGGGTCTGGAGACTCTCCCTCCAAGGAGCTAAGGTACCGCACAACCTCTCCAACGCATTCCCTAAAACCCAGGGTCCTGTAGTCAACTGCCAGAGCTCTTGCATCAAAATACCCTGTGATGGAAATCACTGTTTGATTAAAGGCTTTGTCAGCACAAAGATGTGCAATTAAATAAATTTCTAAAGATTTCTATTTGTTTGTACCTT